GAACAGGCACCAGTGAACACAGGCTCTGTTGACAGCTGAGTGAATTAGAGGGTTAGGGTTACTTTGGCCTTTTGTCAAAAACCATCATGGTCAGTGCGGTATCACAGAAGGAAAGGGCGGCTTGCCAGGTTGACGCTTCATGGTTCCTGCTCAGCAGAGAACATTTTCTGTTTGACAGTGTCTCTGCACGAGTCAGACCCACCAAGGTATTACAGCACTTGGTCATTTTCTTTTCTAGGGGACTTCCATAGGCAAATGTCCAAAGAACAAGTTATTTAAAGGTTACATAGAATTGGAGCTACAGCTTCGAGAATTTGACAGATGCCGGAAGCTTTATGAAAAGTTCCTGGAATTTGGACCTGAAAATTGTACCTCTTGGATTAAATTTGCAGAATTGGAAACAATCCTTGGCGATATTGAGAGAGCCCGTGCAATCTACGAGTTAGCCATCAGCCAGCCACGCTTAGACATGCCAGAGGTGAGGCTCTCAAGTTGAATATAAATTTGCTTTAGTCAGCTCTGTAGTATTACTTTAGATGACCATCTAAATGTGCATTTTAGAGCATAAAGATCTAATTTTCAGTCTTTTCCACTCAAATGAGGACTTTTCTGTTTTGGAGATAGATAGCAAGGCCAGAGGAGCAGCCCTCTAGGTCAGCAGTCGCCAGCTGGTGGTCCGCAAAGTCCGAAAGGTTGGCAAACGCTGCTCTAGGTGGATACGAGAGCACAGCAGTGCCTCATTATGACACCAAACTGAATTGGGATATAATGGGTGGGTGACTGGCTCTCCTCCATTCTCAAGCAGGAAGCTAAAGGGGATGGGAAAGGCAAAGAGACAGGCAGCAGATAATCCCACCTGGAGATCAAGGGAGATGGAAGTTGAGACTGCACACCTTTGGATTCTCCTAGCAGTTTACTCTGGATTGGGCTGTCGGAAGAGAGTCTAAGTAAACCAGGATACTCCTGGAATTATTGCTACTGTACTGGAAGTCCTGTCTTGAGCAGGATCTGATATCATCCCTTCAATATTTAAGCTAGAGCCACAAGGTGGTGCCAAACCACAGCTAGAACGAACTTGAATCTAATAGGAGCCACCGAACTTGGCCTTTTTGTTAATCTTGCACTAATATTACCTTTCATTTAATAGTTCACTGGGACCCACCACTGCCTTGGGGCAGGGCTTTCTGTAGTACTAGGTCCATCTATTGGCCTCAGCTCCTCCACAGACTGCCAGCTCCCAGGAATCCAGACCACATCTTGTTTAGCCTTGTGCTCTCGACAGGCTATACATACTAGCAGATGGGCATCTGTTCACTGCATGCTTGTTAAGTTGAACTCAGACATATCAAGAACTTAGTAAAACGGTATACACTGGCTAATCTAGGCCTGTTTCTCCCTGTAAGTTCAGTTGTATGTGACTCGATCATGACTGCCTGGGAGATATGGCAAGTTTCTCAGCTCCTCTTGATAAGTCCAGCATTTGAAAAATTCTAAGATAATCCAAGCCTTTTCTTCTCATAATGTAGAATTCTAGCCAAGTTGGGCAGCTTGTAAATGCTAGTGTTATTTATTTATCCATATGCTTTCTGTTCTTTGTTCATAAAAGTCCTAGGTTTCTGGATGTCCTGGGTTGGAATGGTAGTTAAGTTGTGCTTTGGATAAGGGCATATTGCTTTTAAATGTCAAGACTGACCTATTAAGTTATCTCCCTCAGGTGCTCTGGAAATCATACATTGATTTTGAAATTGAGCAGGAAGAAACTGAAAGAACACGCAATCTTTACCGACGATTGCTTCAACGGACACAACATGTCAAGGTATTCTGTGCTTTATAGGTGATCTGGTTTTGCATGATTGTATTCTAGATGACATGGTTAATTTGGTTCTATAATAATTGTTTTTAAGGTATGGATCAGTTTTGCACAGTTTGAGTTGTCTTCAGGGAAAGAAGGAAGTTTGCCTAAATGCAGACAAATTTATGAAGAGGCTAACAAAACCATGCGAAACTGTGAGGAAAAGGAAGAGAGACTTATGTTGCTGGAATCTTGGAGAAGCTTTGAAGATGAATTTGGAACTACGTCAGATAAGGAAAGAGTAGACAAACTCATGCCAGAGAAAGTCAAAAAGAGAAGAAAGGTCCAGGCTGATGATGGGGTAAGAACTTGTTAAATGAGCAGAAATGCATTCTGACTTAGAAACCTGTGCTTCTATGTGGCATATGTACATCTGAGAATGGGAGCAGGCCTTGGTAGTTGACAGTTGCAGTCGGGCTAATCAACTTTCAGGTAGGACCTAATCCAGGGAAGGCTATAGGAAGGCTCTTCTGCCCAACAGGCATGACCCAGTCGTTGGCACCTTCTGCAGGAGACTCACGGGGCTTAGATTGCAAGAGCCCCTGTCGGGAGGCTGTGGTAAGCAAAGCAAGTGGAGGTGAAGCTGGAACTAGAGTGATCTTTAGGAAGTGAAATCAGTGGACCCACTGGAGGTGGGGATAGGGCAGGGATTCGGAATAATTATGCATTTAGAGGGCTTTCACTACTGGGTAAATACTAGGTAGATCTTTACATTTTTAAAATCTTAGACTACAAGAAGGAGTTAGAGATACTATCTCCTTGGTTGATTATAGAGGATCTGCGCTAAGATTTGTAGAATATTTTTCCACCAGGTTTTTAGCTCTCACTGAGCTACACTTGCAACACCACCAATCCAACAGCTACTCATCTGCTCCCAGTATTCAAGGCCTGGCCTTTGTTCTTTGTGTATCAGACTTTGATGTTGTGTAAAATGAAGATAAGTTGATTTTGAATTCTGGTTTTTTCAGTTAATATTTTCCACTCTAAAGTAACTGAAATAAATGTATTTCAGCCACGTTTGCTTATCCTTTAATTGTTTACCTTTTTCCTGCAGTCTGATGCAGGCTGGGAAGAATACTATGATTACATCTTTCCGGAAGATGCTGCCAACCAACCGAATCTCAAGCTCCTGGCCATGGCCAAACTTTGGAAGAAACAGCAACAGGAAAAGGAGGCTGCCAAGCAAGACCCGGATAAGGACATTGATGAGAGTGAATCCTGATCCTGTTCATACTGATGTTTTATTATTTTTATAAATTAAGTTTGGAACTCTGTGACTCCTGTAAGTTTTTATATATTTCACCAGTAATGAAGTGATTGAAATCTTTGGCAGCTATTTTTTTAGTTCTTTTAAAAATGCTCTTGGGCTAGTTAGGTGGGTGGGGGTTGTGAGTAAAGGAATTTCTTTTTTAACTGCTGGATTTCTTTGATGGAATCCAAACATTTTTTATCCACATGATGCATTAGGAAATCTAATTGAGGTAACATTTAGCATTGATTTTAGATGAAATGCAGGCCTTTGAAAGAATCTTTTTCTAGAAGTTTTCAAGTTACATTCTATAGTAACTGTTAAGGTGTAGTTTTTTCATGCCTTTTTCATAAAGATATTTTATGCGTTCATCTGAAGTCTTTAACTTTTTCATGTCTTCTGTCACACTAACTTAATTCTATTGCCAGCTGTGCCACTTAGTGATATATAACAACCTTTATTTTCATTTCTTCACTCATAAGATGGGCTAATACTTGCCAACTCATTTTGAAGATTAAATACGGACCATACCTAATGCATAGTAAGTGCTCAATAAAATGTTCATTCCTGGCCACTTGCTTAAATATGTGCCACTTGCTTAAATATGTTCATTCCTTATAGAATTGAATGTGCTTGGATTAATTTAACTTCTAAAATCCTTACTTTCATGGCCATTTATGCTAAGTACTTTTCAAAACATTAATTGGAAAATAATTTACAGTGACTATATTTCTAAATGATCTTTTTTATCAAGAACATATTAGTCAAATTCCAGTTATGCCCTAATCAATTTCCCGGACTGGTTGAACTCTGTAATGGCTTGTTTAAAAAACAGTAATAGGTGTGCCATGAAAAACAATATCCCATGCTCAAGTTTGGGAAACCCTAGATTAAGGGTTAAGCCTTATTAACTAAATCTCTTTATAGGCTGCTCAGAGCCTTTGATATGCTACCATATATATATGAATTAACAGCAACAATGCTGGCATGTTCCCCAAACTCGCTGGACGAGGGAGTCATTTCTACCTAGAGTACCAGTAAGTATCTCTCAGTGTCCTACTAAGCTCAATGAAACTTAATAGCACAAGGAGAATAATAATAGCATTTGGATAATACATTGCTCACATTCTCAAGCAAAAAATAATTGCCTTAATTGATCTGAAATTGTTTCCTTTAACTTGGCGTATATTTCTTAAGCCTATCTTTTTTTGCTCTGTTGACTGCCCAGGTTATAGAACTATTTATCTCTAAGACTGTTTTTCACTTATAAGGACCATTAGCAAATTTATTATCTGCAAATTTATTATTAAGTTTGCAAATATGTTACCCACAGGAATAAAAGCTAGTTAATGTTATTAAATTGTATCTTGAAAATAAGGTAGCTTGTGATTTTTTAAGGGCAGAATAAAATAGGACTATTAGGATAAAAGGCAACTGTTTTCAGTCTCACTGGTTCATTGGACCAGTATCAGCTGTTGGGTATCAGGTTCTGACTATTGAGTAGTGAGGTCTGCCTAGTCAGTGAGGAGTATTTGTGATTTTAATATCCTTTGGCAAAGTGCGCTGTGTCAAAGGGTGAGATGAAAACAAGCCAAAATGCTAATAAAAGTGACTGATCATAGAGTCCTGCTAAAATTATGTTTATGTTGCATGTATGCATAAGAAAAAAAAAATCTGATCAATGCAAAGTCAACACTTCCTGGGAAGTACCAGAGTGTAATGCATGAAGGCAAAAGTTATTCTCTAACGGTAGAACATAAAGGATTCATTTCTTGTTCACTCTTTCAACGCTACCAAAGTAAGTCCTTTCAAAAGTAACAGCTTTTTAGTAATCATTTCTGTGGGATTTTCTTTACTTCTTTTACTCCATGTTTTCAAATATTACAGGTGATGAAAACTACACATGAAAGTATGTTGTTGGTCTATGATCTAGTTACATGGCCTTTAGGATTTAGGTTCTTTTTCCCCTTTAAATAAACCTCAACATCTTTTTATAATTTGAAAGGCATGACTTAAGCAAAATATATATGAGAAACGGAAAGGATCTAGAACTAACAGTATGAAAACAATAACTGGGAAGAATTTATTTTGAAATAAGGAAGCTTAAGTATGCTGGTCAGAAACTGTTTCAAGTATGCATTTTAAAAAATTTTTTTATATAAATAAGCATATCCTAAATGATGCTTTCTCAATCTTAATTTAGTTTTACAAACTTCCAAAAAACATTTATAGAGTCAACAGTGCACTTTATTATACATCTTAGATTTAACATTTCATATATGGTTTTAAAGCTTCAATCAATAGTTCAATAAAAAATATATATATATATGCAGCAGTGGTTCTCAGGCATAAAATTTATGAGGAGATTGGAGCTTTTTTCCCCCTAGCATATAGTGAATATTATGAACTCTGATAGAATGTTTCCATCTGACTTAGCTGCCTTTCTGATTGAATTTTATTACAGTGGACAGCTTCAGTAGATATGATGTTGCTACCTGGAAACAGTAAAATTTAAAACATTTTCTTGAAGTCTTTAAGATCTAAATGAGCACTTTTCTCTAACAGAACTCTAATCCATCCAATAAAAATAATGTCCATAAAATATCTGGAGCATCAACCTAAGAACCACTGCCCATGGTTATTCAATGTCTTCAGGTCTCACAGGATGAGGTAATGGTATGATGGATTTCTTCTCAGTGTCCCTGGAAAGTGCTTTTCTCATATCTGTTAGGAAGCAAAATTTAATTAAAGTACCCAAATTTCAATAATTTTATATTAAATTTAAAGTGTACAGGAAAAGCTCCCATAAGAGAGAGGTTTTGCCCCTTATCTCCCCTTTCACCATAATCTAAGGAAGCGGTTCTCAACCTGTGGGTCGCGACCCCTTTGGGGGTTTAACGACCCTTTCACAGGGGTTGCCTAAGACCATCGGAAAACACATATATAATTACATATTTTTTTGTGATTAATCACTATGCTTTCATTATGTTCAATTTGTAACCATGAAATTGGGGGTCATCACAACATGAGGAACTGTATTAAAGGGTCGCGACATTAGGAAGGTTGAGAACCACTGATCTAAGGGCAATGTCTTTATACAAGTGAGACTCAATCATCAGTAACCAGAGGGTAATAACCAAAGCCCAACTGGGATTCAGCTCTTCATACAAATGTTCTTTTGACAGAATCTTAGTAAAGTAACGTAGTAAGAAAATAACATAGTAACTAGTCATTGGTTAGTTAATGTAAGCTAATTAGTGGTAGGTTCCTAAAGGCAGGTTAAAGGAAATTTAAATATTATATATTGAATTTAAAATATTAAGTCCAACAAATATGATTCTTTTAAGTTTATTAAAATAATTAGATATTTCAGTCTGTAGAATGAATGTAAATGTTCAGCTTCCTCTTTGGGATCTTGCCAAAGACAGCTTACCATAAGCATCCTCATCGGGCTCCCCGTTGCTGGCTGAATAGTACTCTATGACCGTCCTGTATACACTGTAGCCCAGCTGCTTGTACATGTTGACTGCAACTTGGTTAGATACTCTTACAAAGAGATCAACAAAAAATCCACCTTTTCTTTTTTTAAAAAGAAAGGAAAATGTTACCATGTGAGAAACCATAGAAAAAAATAGGTACATGTATTTTTAAAAACAATACTTGCTTTTACTTTGACTACTTTTAATAGAATGGCAGTAATAGGACCTTGCAGGTGATTACATCATAAATCAATTTAAAAAAATATATATTGCTGAGGATTTATAACAACTATTTCACTGTATAAAAAGATGACTTTCTGTCTGCATACTAATATTTCAAAACCTACAGTACATATTTTCTTAAAATATAAAATTTAAAACATTTTTTCCACAATTCTGCTAATTGGCTTAAAAAATTACTGTGTATTTTATGTCATAGTAATTGACATGCCCATTTTACCAGTTAGTCATACAATACTCCAGTCTATTGCTGGCTTGTCGGGGTGCACACTTCTTCAACTTGTTAAATAATGTCTGTTTCTCAACTTGCTGTGCCCCTTAAACTCCCACAGAAATGGGTAAGACTCCAGTACCACACTACCAAGGCTTTTTGCATCAGACTTTTTGCTTGAAAATCTTACAGTATAACAGTACCTCAGGGATATTAATTGGCATTTGGATTACTAACAAGGCTGAATATATTTTTGCTAGCCATTTAGATTTCTGGTTCTGAAGTCTCTATTGGTCTCTGAAACATTTTTCTTCTTCCTCCCGTATGCTATAGTTTGGTATGCTGGATATTCAACATTGTGTAAAGGATGTAACATCTTTTTTCCAATTTGCTATCTTTTTCCAGTTTGTGGCTAGTCTTGTCATTATCTTTATGTATTTTTTTGATGAACAAAATTACTTCATTTCAATGAACTTGAATACAGACAGTCCTCGGGTTACATCGGACTCAACGTACGTCGTTTTGTGGTTACGTTGCCATCTCCCATTTATTTTTATTTTAAAAAGTCATTTCAATGCATATACATATGTGCTTTATGTTTTTTATTTATTCACCACAAGTAAAGGTCAGGAATTGTTATCGTTCTTTTAAATTTTTTTTACTGTTTCACTTCATTACTGCTGTGTGTGTGCTCCATGTGAGTGACGTAGGTGCTTACGTAGATGGGTTTCGACTTATGGTGAAAATCACGTTACATGGTGATGTAGGAACCGATCTCCAACATAGCCCAAGGACCTACTGTATATGAACTTTTCCTTTACAGTTAGCATTTTTTATGGCTTGTTTCAGAAGTTCTTTTCTACCTTGAGCTTAGGGAGACACTCCCCTGTATTAACTTCAAAGGGCTTGTTAATTTTGCTTTTCACATCTAGGTTTTTAAAAAATGTGGAACTGATTTGTATATAGTAAGATGGCAATCTGGGAAAATTTTTTTCCCCATATGGATATCCTATTGTGCCACCACTTTTCACTGAAAAGTGTATCCTCTCATCACTCAAGACAACTGCCTCCTCTGAGGGATGTGAAAATTCATGTATTCCTGGATCTGTTTCTCAAATTCTGTTCCATGCTCTAGACAACTGCACCAGTCCGAACACAGCCTTACTCATTACAGCTTTACTCCAGCCCAAACACACGTGAGTCTTACTCATTACAGGTTAATATCTATGATATCTAAAGGAGCAAACCCACCCATTTTGTTGTTCAGGAATATATTGTCTCTTTTAGGCTCTTAACCAATCCTCTATTCCAGTGGTTCTCAACCTTCCTAATGCCGCGACCCTTTAATACAGTTCCTCATGTTGTGGTGACCCCCCAATTTCATTGTTACAAATTGAACATAATTAAAGCATAGTGATTCATCACAAAAACAATAAGTAATTATATATGTGTTTTCCGATGGTCTTAGGTGACCCCTGTGAAGGGGTCGCGACCCATAGGTTGAGATCCGCTGCACTAAACCTTTAGGGAAAAAAATCTAGCAAAAGCTGCAAGATCTCTAAAGTTGATAAAACTTTGAGAGACATTAAAGATGATCCATCTAAATAAGTGGTTCCCAACATGGGGCAATTTGATTTTTAAGGAAGGCAATTTGAGAGCGAGTTATTAACACTGAAATTTTTATGGTTCTAGGGTCCTCATATACAGTATATAAATATATATTGTGACATTTATTCATTTGAGTTCTCTATTATATGTTTTGAAACTTTGCTGTTTTTTAATATCACTTCATATATTTTTAACAATTTCTTAGTGATTTCTTCCTCAGTACTTCAACTGTCCGTTTGTTCTTTTATTTTTCTTTCATGGATGCAAGTTAATGGCCTTTTAGGCTTCCTCCACATGAATAAGAGTTCACTTTTAATATGATAAGAATTATATGTCACAGAAGGGGCATCAGGATTTTAGAGATGCTTAGGTGGGGTATGGCCAAAAAAAGGTTGGAAACCACTGATCTAAATGCAGAGATAAACCACAGTGCATAAAGGAATTAATATAGTAAACTGGTAATTGGTTCAAGAGCCCATGTAATTGCAGTAAAAATATCTCAGGTATTTTTTGTAGGACTTACATTGATTCTGAAACGTATAGAGCATGTTTCACAGGGGTCGCCTAAGACCATCGGAAAACACATATATACTTACATATTGTTTTTGTGATTAATCACTATGCTTTAATTATGTTCAATTTGTAACAATGAAATTGGGGGTCACCACAACATGAGGAACTGTCTTAAAGGATCCCAGCATTAGGAAGGTTGAGAACCACTGGGGAAAAGATGTTAGTGTCCCTAAAAGTCAGGTATTGCATGTTTTAAAAATTCTTTGAGCACACCAGTGTGCCATTTTTAACATCAGTATAAAGTTCAATTGATTCCTATACAAATGATAAGATTTAGAAAAAGATGCCATTTGCAGTGGCATCAAAATGCACTTTTTCAAAAAACAACAGCCAACACAACAATAGCCATCTGGTGTAAATGAATCAAAATTACACTTGTCAGATCGGCAAAATTATTTTGGTGTGCCACAGAATTTTAGTAATGTGTGCCACGAAATGAAAAAGGTTGAAAATCACTGGTCTAAACATTTACTTGTAGCTTCTTAATGAGTTTCCTATCTGCCCAATCTTATCTTTGCAAAGTAAGTTTGTTTTTTTCAATCCTCTTATTTTTTCTTGGTTTACTGGTGCTGTCTAGTATTTTCAATATATTACTAAAGAGGGGTAACTATAGGTGTCTTTATCTTGTCCCAGATTTTAAAAGGAAAGCATGCATCACCACCAATATTTACCACAGGTTTTTCGCAGATACTCTTCAGTTTAAGGAAGTTCTCTCCTATTTCCTAGTTTGATCAAGTTTTTAATCACGAATGAATACTGAATTTTATCAATGCATTTTTTGCATTTACTTAAATAATAGTTCTCCTTTAATCTATTACAGTGGTGGAATATACTTACAGATTTTCTAATGTTAAAATAACCTTCCCTTGATATAGCATCTTCTTTATGAATTGCTGAATCCATTTTATTAAGATTTTACTGGGATTTCTGCATGTATAATGAAATTTCCCTCAAATTTCCTAATTCTTGTCAGATTTTATTATCAAGGTTATCCTAGCCTTAAAAAATAAGTTGAAGAATATTCCCTCTTTGTGGAAAATTGAACTTAGAGTCATTTCTTAATTAGAATGGTAAAAATTTTTGCCAGAAAAGCCAGTGTTCTATGTGAAAAGAGTTTTGGCTGATTGAAATTCTTGAAGTCAGAGGTCAGCTCACAACTTATTTTTTGTTGCTCTCGAACTAAGAATGTTTTTTGTAATTTTAAAGGATTGTTACACACACACACACACACACACAGTAGAGACCTTAGGTAGCCCACAACACCTAAATATTTACTATTTGGCCCAGAAAAAATTTGTTGACCCGTTGTCTGATTGGCCTAGTAATTAGAAAGACACACCTCCCATTATGGTGATGATTTGTCTATTTCTCAGTATAGTTTTACCAAGTGGTGCATTTTTACATTGAATATGTCATTGAGTATGTAAATTTTTTTATTACATCTTCCTGATGGACTAAATCTTTTATCAATATGCAATGACTCTTTTTAAACTGGTAATGATTGAACTATACTGTGACAATTGTTCATTTATGTATACCAACTGTCTTGATTAGAATTTGTATAATTTTAAAAATTACTTTCAATCTTTCTATATCTAATCTTTACACATATTTCCTGTAAATAGTCCTAACAGTCTCCTTTTTTTTCAATTTTATTTTACTTTTCAATTTTATTTCATAACACAACATGAGATCTTAATACATTGTAAATGTACAATACATTATTGCTGACTACAGGTACAATGCTGTAGAGCAGACTTGAGCTTTTTCATCTTGTTTAACTGAAACTTTATGCTGATTATTAACTCCCCACTTCCCCATACGCCCAGCCCTTGGCCACCACCATTCCACTCTTTGATTCTATGAATTTATTTTAGACTAGTGGCCCAGTACACGAAATTCGTGCATGAGGGAAGGGGTTGTTCCTCAGCCCGGCTTGCGCCCTCTCCAATCTAGGACAGCAGAAGGATGTCCTACTGCTGGTTTACAGGGATTGGGCCTAAACCAGCAGTTGGACATCCCTCTCGCAATCCAGGACTGCGGCTCCTAACCGCTCACCTGCCTGCTGGCCTGCTCGTCCCCAACTGCTGGCCTCCTTGCCCCCA